CACCCACCCACATTCTTCCATCTACCCACTCATCCGCCCATCCACATACCCATCTATCCAACCACCCATCTGTCTGTCCATTCATCTATCTGTCACTCTGTATAATTCCTTCTTTGATGTCTTTAATCATTTCCACCTGAGGATACCCGGGAGGAGGTCTAATTCTGTTGGTTATTTTATCTGCCGACTTATTCTCATGGTGGATGATTTCCTTGTGTATTTTATGTCTGTGGATGTGAACTCATCTCCAGAAGGCGTGGAATGAGATGGTCTTTTCAAAAATGCACTGAGAACGTGCATTCACTTAGTATCCCCACAGCAGTGCTCGTCTAAGATGGCTTTTGGTGTTTATTTCTTAGCTTGGGGCTTCTTGTGTCACCTGGGCAGTATTAGGGCAAGTGTCCAGGCCAAGTGACAGATGTAGGAGAATGTGCGGTCAAGGATTAACCCCGCACATTCCAAGGAAAAGTGTGGCTCTTGCCTGGCTCCTGGGAGGCAACCTCTGAGTCCTGGGACTGTCCTGCCTAGTAGGAGTGACTTTGTTTACCTGGGACCTTGGCTCATGTCAGAGAGTCTATGCTCACAATGGGATTTAGGGGGGAGGGGTCAGCTTGACCTCTGGAGGGGCTGGAGAGGAAGGGCAGTCAGCTGTGTATACGTGACTGAGCCCAGTCAACACCCTGACACCAAGGCTCAAGTGAGTGTCCCTGGTTGGTAACGCTGTGTGTGTTGCCCACATTTTTACTGGGAGAATTAGGGGCTGTCCTAGTGCTGGTTTCCCCGACTCCATCCTTCCACTGCCATAAGCTGTCACCGCAAGCAGAGCAGCTTTGCTGAGTTCTGAGTCGTTCTCACAAACCACTGAACTCGAGGCGGGGTCTTTAGGACCCCCAACACCCGAGAAGGCTTTTCCTGGCATCCAGAACCAAGCAGAGACACCGAGACAGGCTGTGGGCAGACGGTGCACCCTTTGGCTGGGGTGGGCTTCACCTAGAACATTTCAAAAAAAGGCTCCAAGATCACCCTGCTTCCTACCCACCTTGTCTCCTGATCCTCTGTGACCGGAGCAGACCTACGGAAGAGGGAAGGAGTCTTAGCATGATCTGCCTATGGGGGAGCCTGGGCCTTTGTCTGTGAGCCCCATGAGGGCTGACCCAGCTTCAGCTTCATCTGGTACGAAGCAAGTGTCAGTGTGTGTCTGCTGCGTGACAAATGAGCCGGGACAGGCAGTCATGAGGAGCCAGGCCGAGGCCTTCACTAATACAAAACAAAGCCACTGATGTTGCTCGGGACCCACCAGGTCTGGAGGGGCCAAACAGCCACAGGGACTTGCACAAAGGTCACCCAACTGGGACTTTCCTCTGAGAGCAAAACTTGGGTCTCTCGGTGGCATCCGCTGCCCGTGGCCCCTATGCTTGGCTTGTGCTGAATACAGGGAAGAGGAGGGAATGGTCCCAAGGTAGACCCACTGCCCCTGGGGAGCTCAAGGGCAAGAGAAGGAGGGTTTTACAAGGGTGACAAGCAGGAGGCAGACCTGACAGAGACAGGAAACTTGGGAAGGACTTCCAGAGGCGAGGAAGGGGCTGGGGCTGGGCCATTTGTCTACACATCCCAGGGCGAGGGGGTAAGGACTCTCAATTGCTATTTGGTGGATTTTAAAACAAGAAGCGGAAGGGAGGGAATGGGAGTAGCTGCTAAAGGGTCTCCCCCTGGGCTACGGGGAGGTTCTGGAACTAGGAGAGGCACTGAATGCACTAAATGGTGTACTTTATTTTATTAAAATATCTTTTCATTGATTTCAGAGAGGAAGAGAGCGAGGGAGAGACAGAAACATCTATAATGAGAGAGAACCACTGATCAGCTGCCTCCTGTACACCCCCTACTGGGGATTGAGCCCACAACCCTGGGCATGTGCCCTGATAGAGAATTGAACCATGACCTCCTGGTTCATAGGTCGACGCTTGACCACTGAGCTACACCGGCCAGGCTACATGGTGTACTTTATAAAATGGTTCATTGGATGTTATGTGAGTTTCACCTCCATTAAAAATGAACGAGTGAGGAAAACCCAGGAGAAGGGAAGGGCTGGAGGCACCCTGTCCGTAGACCTTAAGCCGACAAGTAACATGCTCTGTCTCCAGGTTGTCCAGCACAGGAGCCCTGGGCCCGGAAACGTGGCAAGTGAGACCGAGGAGCGAACTTCTAAATTTTATTTACTGTGAATTCGTTTAAATTTCAATAGTGGCCTCTGCGAGTGGCCCCAGAAGGGGCAGCTCAGAGGGAAGAGTGACCCCAACATGGAGCATTTACGGGGTGGGGGGAGGGGGTATGCATCGCGCTGGCTGGTTCATACCCGAGTTTGCGTCTCATCATCCTGGTCGCATCGGGATCATGAAAACACGGTAACGCCGTGACCACTTTTATCCGACGTTCTGCGGGCCCCGCAGCCCTGCAGCCCCGCAGCCCGGTGGGTATCAGCTCTCACCTGCGTCCTTACCTGTGCTCCGCAGGCGCTGCCTCCGGCTTCTCTTCCGACCTGGGCAGGACCAGCTCCGGCTGCGGCCTTGCGCTGGGGACACAGAGAGGTGGCAGGGATGACGAGGCGCTGTGGAGGAAGGGGGATCTCGGCTCCCACCGGCCTCTCTGACCTGAGAGCAGTTTGAACAGGGAGGTTTTTGCTGCCCCCAGGAAATGCGGGGCCCGGGAGGGTGGTGAGAAGAGGTCACCCAGGGGCTAATGAAGATGAGCAGCTGTGAGGAAGGGGGGACAGGGGAGAGGGAAAGACCCTGAACCATTCCTTCTGAGCATTTATCTCAGCATTTCCCCCAGAGGCACCTCTGCACGTGTCCCATGGATGCTGGCGCCCTGTGCTACGGTGCCCGAAGGCGGGTGTCCTGCTGGCGTTCGGCCTGTATTCCTGTTCGTGGCTAAAGCCTGGCAGGCAGGAGGAGCACAACTCAGAGAGAGGGAGAGAGAGAGAGAGAGAGAGAGAGGAGGGAGAGAGGCACGGAGGCCGGGAGGGCGGAGGAAAGAAGAAGAAAAAGGAAAGAGATATTTCCACTTCGTGCCCATGGAGATGCCTACTCTCGTAAAAACAAAGTAACACGTTATGACAAGGATGTGAACTGGAACTCTGTGCCCTGCTGGTGGGAAGGTAAGTGGTGCAGCCCCTGTGGGCATCCGTACGACTCCCCTGTGTGAGGTCCCCAGAGGAGTCAGATCCACGGAGACAAAGTAGCTGACGGGGGCCAGGGGCTGGGGGGGAGGTCAGTGTTTAATGGGGACAGAGTTTCCGTTTGGGAAGATGAAGTTTGGGAGCTGGATGGTGGTTATGTTTGCACAACAATGTGAATGTACTTAATGCCACTGAGCGGCACTGGTTAAAATGGTGAATTTTATATTATGTGAGTTTTACTACAAGTAAATATTTTTTTAAGAAAATGACAGGATGAATGAAGAAAGGGAGGGAGGAAGGAAGGAGGAAGGAAGGAGAGAAGAGCTAGGAGAGGAGTGAGGAAAAATTCCCGAATGGCAAGGGATGGTGAGCCCCGCCCGCCCTCCGGCCTCGCCGCCTCCATGCTGCCCTCTGTCGTCATCAAATGACGCTGCGTCTCATCTGCCGACATCACCCTGCCCTGTCGCCAGGACCCGCTTTCCCCACTGGGTGAGGTGTCCCTCTCTTTTCCATTTAAAGAAACTTCTGGAGCAGGAATCTCTCTTAGTTGCCTCTGTGTCCCTGGATTCTAGCCCAGAGCCAGGCAATGATACACGCTTTCCCCTGTTGAAAGCCCCAACTCTCACACAGACTTGCTGTGTGGCCATGAGCAGGTACCTTGCCCTCTCTGAGCCTCACATACCTGGACTGTAAGATGCTGTTCGTATCCTGGGCCTGCCTGGCTTTTGAGGGGCAAGGGATGTGAAAGTATCCAGGCGATGGGCTAAGGCAGTGGTTCTCAACCTTCTAGCCCTTTAAATACAGTTCCTCATGTTGTGACCTGACCATAAAATTATTTCCGCCCTAACCGGTTTGGCTCAGTGGACAGAGTGTCAGCCTGCGGACTGAAGGGTCCCAGGTTCGATTCCGGTCAAGGGCAGGGACCTTGGTTGCGGGCACATCCCCAGTAAGTGGTGTGCAGGAGGCAGCTGATCGATGTTTCTCTCCCTTCCTCTCCCTTCTTCTCTGTAAAAAATCAATAAAATATATTTAAAAAAATTATTTCCGTTGCTACTTCATAACTGTCATGTTGCTACTGTTATGAATCATCATGTAAATATCTGATATGCAGGATGGTCTTAGGCGACCCCCGTGAAAGGGTCGTTCGACTGCCAAAGGGGTCGCGACCCACTGGTTGAGAACCGCTGGGCTAAGGGCTCTATAATTGGGCGGGACCAGAACTGTCTTGAAGGTCTGTGACATACTGGATCGTATTCATGAGAAAGGAGCCAGGAAGGCATTAAATGGGCACGTCTGGGTCTGTTGCGGTGAGTGTGGGGCTGGTGTTTCCTCTGAAAAGGGAGACCTTGATATCGCTGAGCCCCCTGCTTTGCAAGTGACTACACCACTCCTGACTTTCCACTGTAACCCCCAAGGCCACTGTGAACGTTTTATTTGCCTAACGTCGTTCTGTGACTCAGTAGGGAAATCTGGATTTGGACTCGGGTCCGACTCCACGTTCTCGCGAGAAGTGCAGGGCCTCTAGTGTGACCTCGGTCCCTGCAGAGCCAAGGCCATCGGCTGCTCCCCCGGGCAGGCCCAGCTCAGCGCTGGCCCCCACCCCGCCCGGACAGGGCCACGCTGCACAGACCTTTCTCTCCCGGCCTTGAGCCGCTCCTCTTCATACCTGGAAGAGAGGAGGAGCAGCATGTCAGACACAGCCCTCCCTCCCGTCGGTGCACCGCCCAGGGAGCTCTGGATGTAGCCAGGCTTCAGGGTAGGAAGTACAGCCGGAGCTGACAGCCTGCTGGCCTTCCCATGTTCCCTGCAGCTGCTCTGCAGGCCCCCCAGGGCAGGGAGTATCTGCATTGTTGACGTATTCCAGCATCTGGTGTAGATGCGACTCAGCAGACCTCTGGCCTGACCCAGTGATGGAACAGTGCCGTGATAAAGCAACACACCCCTCTACTAGGGCAAAGTATTTCCGTAAAGGGCTGGAGAGTAACTATTTTCAGCTTTGCAGGCCAGTCTTGGTTCCACCAACTCAATTCAGTTGTAGCTTGAAAACAGCCCTAGTCCAGTGGTCGGCAAACTGCGGCTCGTGAGCCACATGCGGCTCTTTGGCCCCTTGAGTGTGGCTCTTCCACAAAATACCACGTGTGGGCGCGCACGTACAGTGCAAAGTTGACTTAAGACTTTAAGTAAAGTTTATTAAGTTAATTTTAGGGAACGCTGTGGAGTGAAAGAAGATGTAGTGTCGAGGATTGAGAAAGGTATGTTGAGATAGTTTGGACATATAGAGAGGATGAACGAAAGGAGATAGACGAAACAAGTATACAAGACGAGTGTGGATGGGAGAGTTGGAAGGGGCCGACCTCAGAGAACGTACCTCAATCAGATTGAGGACGTTTTTAGCAAAGGCCAGCTTAGGAGTACCCTAAGTAAGTTACTAACAATGTACCTACCTATATAGCTTCAGTTTAAAAAATTTGGCTCTCAAAAGAAATTTCAATCCTTGTACTGTTGATATTTGGCTCTGTTGACTAATGAGTTTGCCGACCACTGCCCTAGACCATCTGTTAATAAGTGGGTGAGGCTGTGTGCCGATAAAACTTTATTTATAAAAACAAGCTGTGGGCTGTGGCTTGCTGGCCCGGCCCCGCACTAGGTCCCCAGGCCCACTGTACTTCCTAATTTCAGACGTGTTTGTTCACCGATGCCCTCCGTCCTGCTGCTCTCACACTCACGTCGGGTTTTGGGCAGCTGAGTGGGAGCCTGAGGAGCCTGGGGGCCTTGAGGATGCAGGTGGGGCCCGCACAGGGTGTGGGGACACTCACTGCAGCACGCAGTCTGGGATCTGCACGTGCTCCATGGGGATGAGCTGCTCCAGCTCTTCCAAGCTGTGCACATACTGGATCTTGTTGATGAATTTGACGCTGCCAGGAGGAGGAGACGATGTGGTTACCCAGAGCCAGAAGGAGCGATGGCAGACAGGGTGGCACGTATAACCCAACTCGAGGAGGCCCTAAGCACTACGCTCAAATCTCCCTCCCCACCCAGGGCCAGGCTCCACCCTCTACCCCTCGTGGGGTGGACAGAGCAAGGCCTGGGGGCTCCTGGCAGGAGGAGAGGGGTCTGTCCCCGATCCTCACTAAGTGGAGGCCCTTGTGTAAAGGAAGCAAAGAGGCAGGAGGTTCTAACAGATTAAGTATCCTCTTCATCCACCTAAGAATTGCTCCTCTGCGTTCGTTCTCCCAGGGATGCTTTCCTGGCGCTCTCGCCCCTGCTGGGGACAACACCAGTCGTCATCGGGGCACAGGAAGGCACACGTGGGGCTGCTGATTCACCCTCCATTCTTTCGGGGTGAATGGCTTCTTCCTGTCAAAGCCCGGGCTCAGGCTGTCGGCACCAGGCTGTGCTTGGTCACCAGCACGCTGCTTTGAACTCACGGTTATTAAAAAATATTTTTTCGCCCTGACTGGTTTGGCTCAGTGGATAGAGTGTCGGCCTGTGGACTGAAGAGTCCCGGGTTCAATTCCTGTCAAGGGCATGTACCTTGGTTGCGGGCACATCTCTAGTAGCGGGTGTGCAGGAGGCAGCTGATCGATGTTTCTCTCTATCCCTCTCCCTTCCTCTCTGTAAAAAATCAATAAAATATATTTTATTAAAAAAAATATATATTTTTTCAACTCAAATCTAGTCTTGGTGATATGGAAAATACACTTTTTTCCAGGGAAAAGAAAAGTTTTTAACAATGAGAAATGTAAGGTCAAGAGAATACAACAGCACAACAAAGAAGAAAATAGCCCCCAGCTGGTTTGGCTCAGTGGCTAGAGCGTCAGCCTGTGGAGTGAAGGGTCCCAGGTTGGATTCTGGTCAAGGGCACATGCCCGGGTTGTGGGCTCGATCCCTGGTGGGGGATGTGCAGGAGGCAGCCAATCAATGATTCGCTCTCATCATTGGTGGTTCTATCTCTTTCTCTCCCTTCCTCACTGAAATCAATAAAACATTTTTTTTAAAAAAGTTTGCTAAATAAAAAAATAATAAATTTAAAAATTAAAAATAAACAGAAGAAAATAAGTAATAATAAAAAAGGAAAGATATGCCCTGGCTGGTCTGGCTCAGTGGATAGAGCAGTGTGTTTTTTTTTAAAAAAGGAAAGATACAGCGAAATGTCTACAAGAGTGTCAAGAAGATTTATATCTATTTTTATTTTTTAAAAATATATTTTATTGATTTTTTCACAGAGAGGAAGGGAGAGAGATAGAGAGTTAGAAACATCGATGAGAGAGAAACATCGATCAGCTGCCTCCTGCACATCTCCTACTGGGGATGTGCCCGCAACCCAGGTACATGCCCTCGACCGGAATCGAACCCGGGACCTTTCAGTCCGCAGGCCGACGCTCTATCCACTGAGCCAAACCGGTTTCAGCATTTATATCTATTTTTAGAGATTAGACAAAAATTCAGCTCAAGCTTTCTGGCATTCAGCGCTGAGTTCTGCAGCTCACGGTGCCTATAAGGGAAACATAAAGCCGTTTCTTCGCAGAGGCCAATGGGAACTGATTGGGGAAGACAGAGTTTCCCCATGGGCAGTCACAAAGCAGCCTGTGTACTGGGATGAGCAACACCCACTGCTTTTGTGCAGGTCAAATGCATTTTTTTTATTAAAAAAATTATTCTCACAGCACGAGGCCTCCCTCCAGTGGGCGTGACAGAGGTTAAGGGTGAATAGGTAGAGAGCGAGTCTCAGACCCGGGCAGGAATCGTGTCCCCGCCTATCTCACCGGGGTCGTCCGCTCTGTGCCTGAATCTGCCCGGGCTCCGGGGGACAGATTGGATTTGTTAGGGAGGATTTCTTTGTGGTGCTCAGAGCCAACACCTGCTGCTCTGAGTGCTGGTCTATAAATACAGGCAAAACTGACGCCCTGAGGGTGTGGTCACACCCACCGGGCCCATCACTGGAAACAGATACCCACATCTCTGCCCTGACTGTGCTTCTGCCTGTGGGCTGAGCTTTCTGACTCATGTTGGGGCGGGGGGGTGGGGGGGGGCGCTGTCACGAGGGAGAATTCCAGGTCAGTGGCAGCACATCCCCAACCATGGGACACACGGAGGTTTTCTTGGAGATACAATCACGGAACCTCGGGGTTGGACTGCAGGTCAGAATTGGCCTCCGTTTTCCTCAGCTTTTCTGTTACAGATTTTTAAAATTGACTTTTAGAGAGAGAGGAAGGAAGAGGGAGAGAGAAACATCGACGTGAGAGTACAGATTGGCTGCCTCCTGCACGCCCTTCTGGGGAACGAGCCCGAAGCCGGGCCCTGACCGGGAATCGAGCCCACAACCTTGTACTGCCCCAGATCATGTCCAACCAACCGGCCACACTGGCCAGGGCCACTTTCCTCAGCTTTCAAAAGGAGAAGTGCATTTTCCTCCCCTCTCCCCTCTTCTTTCTTTGAAAGCTCGAAACAAGATCCTCACAATTTGCCGTGGGACTAGCAACCAAGAGTGAGTGAATGGTCTGCCTTGGGCGATGGGATATTGAGGCCAGAACGCCGTTCTGTTAGGCCGACGTGCGTGTTCACCATTTTGCCCAGTGGGTTCATCATGAGCACAGAGGATCCACAGCTAGTGTATTGTTCGCCTGCTTTCACTATTACGAGTCCTTGAGCACAGAGCGCCTGAAGTTAGTTGCCTCCTTGCAAATCCTTCAAGGCAAAGTATGAGCCCGACTCTCTCTCTCTCTCTTTTTTTTAATTTCAGAGAGAAAGAGAGAGAGAGAGAGAGAGAGAGAAACATCCACGATGAGAGGGAATCATGGATTGGCTGCCTCCTGCACGCCCCACATTGGGGATGGAGCCCACAACCTGGGCATGTGCCCTGACCAGGAATCGAACCATGACCTCCTGGTTCCTAGGTCCACGCTCAACCACTGAGCCACGCTGGCCGGGCTGGGCCCGACTCTGAAACGCATCACAGACTCTTAGTTGGGAATGTGGAAATGAAGAAGGATCTTGACTCAGTTCAGTGTTTGGCATGATATTAAGTTAAATGTACATTTAGTTTGTATGTGATTGACTAGGGCATGTCCATTTGGGTTTCCTTGCTCTGTTTTTCCAGGTGCTTCTATATTGTGCAGCAGAGGGCGAACCCCGCAGCTTGGGGGACCCAAACCCTGCACATTGCAAGGAAAGAGCTGGCTCTTGGTACTCGTGGGAGATCACCTGTAAGCTGAGAACTGTCCTGCCTGGTAAGAGTGTCTTAGGTGACCTGGGGCCTCAAAGCCTGCCGTGTCGTCTACGCTAACGGTGTGGTTTAGGGTGGGGGTCTTGAGCCACGTAATGTCAATTTGATCTCTGGAATCACTGAAGACCGAGTAGGTTCGGGCACCTGGTGCTCCGTTCCCGTGTGGCTAAGCTTGCTGGGAGAATCAGGGCTTTTGGCACAACGGGGAGGGGCTCGCTGGAAGCTCATTTCCGGTTTCTCCTAGACTCCCGTGTGCACCCGTTTCCTTTGCCAATTTTAATCTTCATCCGTTCGCAGTAATAAAGCGGAACCACGGGTATAGCAGCTTTTCTGAGTCCTGTGAGTCCTTTTGGTAAATCATCGATCCCAAGGGGGGGTTTCACGTGTTGGTTCATTGAATGATTGGCCAGGAGTAGGTCAGACCCTCTTGGCATCCTAATGGCTCCCCCACAAATTCTGGAGTGAACGGAGCTGGGTTCCCTCCTGGGGAGTGTGGTGGGCTAGTGACCTTGCTGTGTGTGTCTGGGTGAGTTCCTGGACCTTTCCGAGACTCAGTTTACTCATCCCTGAAATGTACACGATGACACCAGCGTCTCAGGGTTAAATGGTAAAAGGTATCCACCATTCAATATGGGAGAGCTGATTATTACTTCTCTCGTGTTTGTCACTTAGAAACAATACCTGTGATTGAAAAGTGTTTAAATTAATACTGCCTACTTAGCATAGAGAAGTTGGGAAACGCTGATTAAAAATAAAAGCCACAGGGAGAAACTAAGATGGCGGCAGAGATAAACACCGGGAAATTAACGCCGCACACAACAATTGATTAATACCTCAGAGAAACAATACGGACTTCATCCAGAACCACAGGAAGCCTGGCTGACTGTAAACTCTACAACTATAAGGTACTTTGCCAATTTTAATCTTCATCCGTTCGCAGTAATAAAGCGGAACCACGGGTATAGCAGCTTTTCTGAGTCCTGTGAGTCCTTTTGGTAAATCATCGATCCCAAGGGGGGGTTTCACGTGTTGGTTCATTGAATGATTGGCCAGGAGTAGGTCAGACCCTCTTGGCATCCTAATGGCTCCCCCACAAATTCTGGAGTGAACGGAGCTGGGTTCCCTCCTGGGGAGTGTGGTGGGCTAGTGACCTTGCTGTGTGTGTCTGGGTGAGTTCCTGGACCTTTCCGAGACTCAGTTTACTCATCCCTGAAATGTACACGATGACACCAGCGTCTCAGGGTTAAATGGTAAAAGGTATCCACCATTCAATATGGGAGAGCTGATTATTACTTCTCTCGTGTTTGTCACTTAGAAACAATACCTGTGATTGAAAAGTGTTTAAATTAATACTGCCTACTTAGCATAGAGAAGTTGGGAAACGCTGATTAAAAATAAAAGCCACAGCCCAGGCAGGTATCTGGACACAGGTTACAGCCTCACCTGATGAAAGGCCGGGAGATGGCCAGCACAGTGCGGATGAACCAGGACGGGTGGACGATGATTAAGGACTTCAGGTTCTTCCGTAACCTGCATGGGAAGGCAGAAGCAGCAAGATGGGCTCCTGGGGCAGGCCCAGGGGAGGGAGGGGCTGCCTCCTCCGCCCTCCCTGGGGCACCACCACGTTACAGGAAGAAGGCAGAGTCTCTGAAAGCTAAGGCCCTTGGCGGAATTTGCAAGTGGTGGAGCGGTCTCTCTCCTAAATTAGAGTCTGAGCAATTTTCATTTGTCTCGCTGAATTGCATTCCCCCGTCTCGCCCCAAATCCATAACTCCTGGGTCCTGAGAAGGGGACACTATTTGGAAAACAGGGTCTTTGCAGATGTAACGATTTCAGGTGAGGTCAGACCAGAGCAGGGTGGGCCTCTAATACAGGATGAGTGGCGTCCTTGTGAAAAGAGGAAATTGAAGACACAGACGCACGCTCAGGGAGGTGCCATGTGGAGATGAAGGTAGAGCTGGGGTGATGCCTCTACAAACCAGGGGGCACCACGGCTCGCCGGCGACCACTAGAAGCTGGGGGAGCACGGAGCAGATGCTCCCTCGGGGCCCCAGGGTCTCCCTCTGGAACCAGCCCTGCTCGGGGGTCCCCTTGCACCGGAGGCAGGCCCCGCCACTCCCCCTCACCTTCTATCGATCATCTGGTAGCACTTCTTCAGCCAGCTGATGCCTGGCATCCTCCGCCGGGGGGTGGCACCATTCAGGTACACGATCATGTAATCCTCTGCCACCAGGAGTTCCAAACTGCTGATGACGTACCTGGTCACAGGGCACAGAGGACAGGGGACCCAGTGAGAGCGATCCCGAGTTAGAAAGCCCCAGGTCCTGGGGCTGGACACCTGTGGCACCTGCTCCCTTTGCCACCCCGGCCCCAGCTGTGCCAGCCACACCTGTGCAGGAATTATTGGCTGTCCCAGCACACTCCGGGGGGCGGGAGGTGGATGCGATTAACCCTAGCCCACCCCAAATTTGTGTCCGTGAGTATAATGATCACAGTAGTTAGTATTTAATTGAACACTTACTATGTGCCATGCTTTATATGCAAGACTTTACTTATATGCATTATCTCCACTAATTCTGGGGATGGGACTCAATAGCCCCAGATATAGCTGGGGAACAGGCACCCACCGGGTAGCTCACGGCACCAGATGTTAGGGACCTGGGGTTCCTCCTGGCTCTCTCTCTCTCTGAGGGATTTCAGAAAAATCCTTTCCTCTCTCTCAGCCTCTCCTTTCCCGTCTGTAATTGGGAGACTGGGTTCCCTGGTCTCTCAGGCCACTTCCCATTCCGACCTCCCACAGGTACCTCCTCATCCTCCGGCCCGCCTGGCACCCAAGCCCTGCTGTGTAAGAAGGGTCACTTACGATTGTGAGTGACCCTGACTTACAGAGCTCTTACTGCCATCTGCCCGGTGCTTCGTATGTATTTTCTGGCTCTGTCACAACAGAACGCTACCTGTGTGTCCTTGGGCAAGTGACTTACTCTCTGTGCCTCGGACCCTGCCCCTGTCGAATGGGAGGCGGCCACCCCACAGGGTTATGGAGAGGATGGAGTGCGTCATCACGGACGCAGCACGCAGCCTCGTGGCTGCCGCATAGTGAATACTCAATACATGACAGCGATGCTGACGATCATGATTGCACCGATGAGGCCCAGGGGGTGAGCAGGGAACTCAGATCCAGGTCTGCTGGTGGCCCAGGCCCTGCCTGGTGCCAGCAGAGCCCCCTCCCAATGTGGTTCTCACAGCCTGGTCCAGCCCGCTGCCGGGGCCCTCAGGAATGTCGGGGGGGCAGGGGAGGTGCAGCCAGCGGCCACTTACAGGAAGAGGTGCTCCATGAGGTAGTGGTAGTCGGGAGAGCTGCTGTCTGGGAGGAAGCAGGCGGCAAAGACGATGATGGCACTGAGGCCTTCACCATAGTACCCTGGGGAGAGGCCGCCAGTGAGCCCGGGCAGAGACGGGCAGAGCCCTCGCTGAGCTCAGCTCTGAGCCGCCCCAGGCCCCTGACCTGTCCTGCCTTTGGTAGGGAACGCCAGCCATCCCCCTAGGCACCCCCTATGTGCACCCGGCATCCAGGGCTCATCCTCATGCACGTTTCACC